CCTCCCTCCTTCGCTCAGTAAACTTCGAATGCCCGCGTATAAAATACAAACAACTATATTTCTTCGCAAAACGCTTTGGATGGATTTGGACATTAACAGAGCGGTTTTCGAATAATAAAAATACAAAACCAAAACAATGGTTATCAGAACAGCCAGTAGCAAGAAAGGACAATAATACTAAGAGCTAATGAGAACTAATTGTTGAGGCAAACAAGTTTCGCGAAGCGCGGAAAACATGTTTGACCAATTCAGACTTGGTTTAAGTTTTGCATCTGATTGGTTGAGAAAGCGGTGCAATTCTTCTGGACCAATCACAAAGTGATGCAACGCAAAACCAATGTAATTTTGAATCACTTTCAACTCTCAACAATAATTGCTCGAATACCCAAAGAAATATAAGTAAAGAACACTCACTTCTACGTGGTCTGTTCCAAGTAGTTGTTCTGTTAACGTGGTCAATGTAATAAACTCTTCCATGAGAATCCACACCTCTCTCCCAATCTAACAAACAAAAATTGTCTTAGTTCAACGGTCCACACAGAAGGTAAAACAAAATCTAATCTGTAGCTGTATGGGCCACTTAGCTCGAGTGTCTTACTTGAAGGAAGAGGTTCCTCCTCATCAGGGGCTTGCTGCCCAGTCCGACCCTGCTGCTCCCTTGTTTGCTGTTGGTCCTGTATGGACACATGCACCGAATTTCCTTGTTGTCTCCTGCCAGAGCTTCGGCGATTACTGCTGTGACGATTGGCTTGCGTCGGCCTCTCACCCAAGTCTACGTCTGTAACAGAAGATGTGGATGCCGCAGGTTGGCTTACAGCAGGTGGTCTCCCCTGTGAAATCTGCGCTGAATTAGCAATATAAACTGCGAGAATGGATTGTATGGTTTCCCTGGACTGACTTACAGCACTGGTAGATCTGCTACTGGACTCAAGTGAAGACATGGCACTAACAGTGGTCTCAGGATTCACTCTCTCAGTTGCACGAGACCTGGGCTGTTCTGAGTTTGATGAGGCACTAGCGGTGGCTACAACAGAAGAAACTGAATCTGAAACACTATGACCGTAGCTACGCGGTAAAGACTGCGACTCTTCGGAGATGTCCCTCGTTACGGTATACCCACCTCCACTACCGCTGCTGCGTCTTCGATTTCCTGACAGTGGTGTGACTCTTGCCGAACTACTCTGCCTGGGAAAGCTTGCGCTAGACTCACTAGGCAAATTTCTACTTTGCTCTGTAACTGGTGTTGCGTAAACTACCGAGGATGAATTCGTTCTGCGATGAGCTTGTGGTTCATCAGGCAATATGGAGGCAACAGCAGAAACGCTGCCCCTTTGTAATGTTGATGGAGCAGATGAAGGCTGCCTGCTTTCGTTCATTAAAGAGAGGACGCGCTCGCTTGATAACTCTCTAGATGTTGAAGATTCCACTCCATCTCTTGTGTTAGAACTAACTGCAACAACAGTGGTCGCCGTATTTCCCTCCAAGACTGAATCTGGAGACGGTAACGGAGTAACCAAAGCTGGGGTTTCAGCAACAACATCTGCTACAACGACAGGGGAGGTTCCGTTGTTTGAAGAGGACGACGAACTGCGCAATGGAGGTAGAGATAATGGCACCGCCACTACGACTGGGGGTGACACACTGGGAGATACCTCGACACCTGAGGTCGCTTCTAACACTGGAGTGACTACTGTTGTTGTATTAGATAGTGACAATACACTTGTGTTTGTCTGCTCAAATTCAGTATTAACAACCACACTTGAAAGTGCAGTTGGCTCTGTGACTCGTCGAACCAATGACGGTCGAGAAGGCCTCAGAGAATTCTCTCCTTGGTTGGCTCTTGCAGCGAGGCGTGCCCTCTCTGCAACCTGTCTTGAGTGCGCACTTCTTGGATCGCTACTGGATCGCGACAGTCTCTTACTCCGAGGGGGCCTTTGTGGGACAGCGCTATCCCTGTCAGATCCTTCATTGTTGAGCATCAGCACCTCTGGGGGTGAATCCACTAACATTTCCGAAGCTGACGCAGACTCTAGTGAGGTGGCATTCAAGCACACAGGTTCGGAAGCCTCCACCGGAAGGGTTACTGACGATATCGCCGAGGTAGAAGACTCTGAACCGGAAGATACCGTGTCCTCAACAGATGGCCGAGTTGACTCGGAAGCCGAAGAGGTCAGTGACGGGCTAATTTGCCTACTTTCCCCAGCAGTCTCAATTATCATTGCACTGTCATTACTCTCTTCTTCGGCTTCATTTGAAAATATTTCTTCTACGTACTCGAGAAGAGACATGGGCACGTCCCTTTGGCTACGATCCCGTTGCCTCAAAGGTGAAGATGTTGATTCGCGGTTGATATCGGAGCCTTCTGTCTGCAGCTGAAGGTTTTCTTCAGAAGCAGCTGACTCTGCTTCATTCAACACCGCGGCTACTGAAGGGCCGGGCGAGCACTCAGCCACACGTGATGATGCGCTGGACCCTTCAATGTCCTGCGGTGGTGACAATACGTGATCATCTATCTCCTGATGTGTGAGAACACTATTGGCATCTTCTAGCAAATCAGTTTCTCGAACAGCCATTTGATTTTCTACAGAGCTATTTTCAATCAAAGCTGACTCTGTTGTGTTCCCACTTGTCAACACATCTTCCATAGAAAAGTCTGAATTATGTGAACTGTCCTGTTCTGTTCCAATAACAACAGTCTCGTCGGTAGTATCCATTTGTTCAAGTTCGTCATCTGATTCAATAGTTGCATCTTGTAGAAGATTTTCAGTTGAAAGAGCGATACTCTCCTCGCGAACTCTCTCACTCTCTTCCAAGATCCTCAGTGGCGAGTCGTCTGTCAACTCAATACTTCCGATACTACCTCCAATACTGGGTCTTTGTCCTGCAGCAGAGAAAGCCATCTCCACCTCAGATGTGTTGGCTTCATTACCTTCTTCTGGGATTTCCATAGGCTGGTGCTCCACACCTTGACTACTCTCTAGTGAGGTTAGTTCTGTTGCACCCTCCTGGCCTGACGCAGCATCCACGTCATCTAGTCCATCACGAGAAACTTGACCTTGATCAATCGTATCATCCGGAGATACCACTTCATCAGAATTTCCTAAGCCACCAGAGGCCCTGTTGGCATCTAGAGTTTCTGCCTCCGCCAAGTCACTCCCACTAGAAGCACCCTCACTGGTTGTTCCTTGAGGGCTTCTTGTGACGTCACTATCATCTAAGGGAACAAACTCCTCAGCGTACATCTCGGAGAATGGTCTCGACTGTAGTGCCAATCTCCTTCGAGCAGCATCACCAAAGTTATTCTCCTGTTCAACAGCACCCCGAGGAGAAACAGGAGATGCTACTTGGTCCACGGGGAAGATAGTCTCCAGCAGACCATTGCTGGAGTTCAAAGTAAGAGGCTGTAGAATGTTAGGTGCGGACGACGTGAGAGATGGGTTTGATAACGTGCATCTTAAGTTATTTTGCTGAAGGCTTCCATTGGATTCACCGTTAGAGGCTGCGTTTGGTGGAACATTTTCCTGTTCGGCAGAAACAGCATCTAGATAAAATAAAAGAAAAAAGAAAAAAAAAGAGTTAAGGTCAGCTAAATAATCACTCCATGAAAAGAAAACATGTAACTGTAAGGTAAACTTTATTAAGCCAGGGTGGCTCTCTCGGCTAAATGGCTGTTATTCAGAGGGGTCCTGATCGGGGGCCTATATACCTATATGATCTTGGGCCCCTGTTGGCCCAGGAGTCAGTAATAGAAGGGCAAAACCCACCGCGGGACCTACTATACGTTATCGAGTTTTCAGTCAAAGTTTCGTTTGCATGTTTCTATCATGATAATTCAACACAACGTTCTTTAATTGGAAGTCAGCCTGTCGTTTCATAAATGCCGTTTCCATTCCATTATTATGAAAATTCACCCACCGTGAGATTCTGGGGTAAAAAAATTTTGAATAGGAATTTTCAAACATGAGGATACATACATTTGTGTCCATGCCATTTCAGAGTAATTACCTGAATTATTAGATGGTTCAATAATAGTGATGGTGAGTGTAATTGTGCCCTGTACTCTGTCTGCAGGTGTCCTTCTACCAAGTGATTTAGTGACCTCTTCTGGCCTGTCAAGGGTCAAAAAGCATAGATATATAACTTGACCTACATGTGTAAAGTAAACAAAATCCAAACGTACTTTCCGATTGTGCCAACTAATGTTCAATAGACTATATAATTAAAGACAAACCTGGTAAAACTGTCTCGAACTGGAGCGATCGGAGCAACCATAATCGTCCGAACAAAATTGTGTTTGCGCTTAACGATTGTTTTCCTATCATCGCCGAATTGTCTAGGTTGAGTAGACGACTAGGACGATTGGGACGATTAGGACGATGTGAACGATTTGTTGGGAACGAAGCCTTGGCCAGTCCATGTAGAATCGCATCCCGAACGGTCACGTTACGTATCATTTTGCCACTAATAAGTTTTGTTTGTACGAGACGTTATTGATTTTAACTTGAATTAACGTTTTTATACCATTATCAAATTACCTGTATATATCTGTGATATTTCCGAAAGGTATAGTTCAGTTAAGTTGACTTGCGAGTAAAGAGTTTCGAGTTGCAAAATTTTCGATTTGATTTGAATGGGAAATAAAATCATTCGATCGGTAACGATTGTCGAGTCTATAAAAGTCGTCAAGTATTTAGGAATTAGTTGTAGAGGGTCATTTCAACACACGATTGTTTGCTAACAAATGCTCCTTTCACTCATTCACTTCTGCTTATCTAAAGAGTAGAAACTTCTTAAAGCTTTCGCGTTTTTACTACAATCTGAATTTTAATGCATAAATCAACTTAGAATAGAGCTGGAGAATATTGTGTTAGTCGACCAATTTAGTCCAATCATAACTTTAATGGTAACAAAATGAATAACAGTAGTAACAGATAGCAGTACAGACCTATTTCTTTGGCATTCAAAAAGATCCACCAGAGGAACAGTTAGTTTCCCCAAGAAGCGGCTAAAGGCAGGCCGCGTCCCAGAAAACTTATTCCTTACTTCGACTTCCAACAGGTCGTCTGCACCACCCAAGAATACAAACTCCTGAAAAGGATACAAAAATCATGGTACAGTACACGGAGAAAAACTATAGAGGAACCAGATTCATAGCTATAATTAATATTAGATAAGCAAGTTCTTTTTTCGTCCCCCAGTAAAGAACCTTGAGGCTCTTTTCATTTCAGTACCAAGGTCCTCTGTTTATCAATAATCTCAGCTCAGACATTCAAAATTAAAAACTTTGAAAACTTTGAAAAAGCAAGTTGAAAAAGGACCCTCTTTCTTATATCCTTCTTTCCCTCCATTCTCCTTTTTCCCTTCTTTCGTTTTTCCTTTGTTCTGTTTTTGTTTGCTTTGTTATTTTCATTACATCATGTTACCTATTTGCTACTGACGCTCCATTTTGTTGCCAACATATATATGTATTTCCAGTCAAGGAAGTCCGTACTTTATACACCTCATGGTTTCTTTGAGCTTCCTCAACAAGTTAGCAAAAAATGAAGACATACCGAACTTTATGTCTACAACCGGCATTAGTAGCTGTAAAACTTTTAGGATGGTGGTTTACAAGGGTATTTCAAACTCAAGAACCACCTTTGCAAACTTGCAAACTGCATACCAACCTCGTTAGTCCATCTTGGACTAATGGTGTTTGTTTCTGATGATGTCTTGGCAATCTGTCCGTGATGTTGTTTCCATGACCTGAGATGTCTTCTTGACGGCATGATTGACAGCTTGACATATGGGCTGGGCCTACCAAAGATGTTTTTCTTCAGGCCATTTGCCTGTAAACCTGTCGGAAAAACCAGGGAATGTTTAATTCCAGACCAGCATAGATCATGGAAGCTCATATACAATGTTTCTATGAAGTTCACATATTTTTAAATGCCCTCATGCTCATCCAATTCTATGGAGTTGATACGCTGATACATGTTAATGTCCACTATTATGCATCAATAACCAACGACACTGTAACATTTATAGGGCTGGCTCCATGAGTAAAAATTATGAAATGAATACCATATGATGACAATTGACAGTCTTATGTAGAAACTCGATCTTGAAACTATTGAGAATCTTGGATCCAGAATCGAGGCTCAAATGGATAGCAGAAGCTCTGGACACTGGAAACTTTGCAAATAGGTATTCTTGTGCCAGCAAACCACACAGACATTGTTTCAGGAAATTTTATAGGCAGCATAAGCTTGGCTTGGTGCTGGACTAGCCCCCTTCAGCATTTCCCAACACTCTGCCACCTCTGAAGGTGGACCCACGGAATTTTTCCAGCTCAGGAGTGCTTGCTTTAATCCACAAAAGAAAAGGTCTCCTGAGGTGAAGCCTAATACTTAACTAAATCCTTCATTATTATAGTTTTTCTGGTTAAGATAACAAAAGTAAAGATTGGCATTGTTCTTAGAGAAAGCTCAGATCTTGAACTTAAAAACTTTGCAAATACAGGGTTTGAATATTTGATAGCAATTTAACTAATTGCATATTTCTTATCAAGTATCACAAATACATAATTTATTGTGTTTACCTGCAATAGAAAATTCCAAGAGGGTCTCTTCTGGTACTAAAGACCCAAGGCGTGGCCTGCCATGAGGTGAAGCAAGCTTTGGAAAAAAACATAACACCAGAATTATAGCTAGTCATGTTTAGTTTCTTGTACATTTCACCCATGATTTCAAACTGAAAATTTTCCTTGTCACTTACTGCAGCATAAGGGTTGAAAATATAAATTGTAGGACTGATGGCCTTCACTGAGCTAGTGCTGCCTTGTATGTACTTGAAAATGCACTTGTTTTCCACTGGGGAATAAAGATAAAGTGTAGTAATCGTTAACCTTGACACAAGATAATATGCAGCTGTAAGTAACAGATTAAAGTTTACTTCACAAATTAACAAACAGTCATGTAGTTTGTGGTGCTGGGTCACATAGTCATAGTCAATATCCGTATTATTGCATGCATATTGCACATTGCATGCATACTGAAAAAAATCCCCATGGGTGCAATGGTATGAGTAGGGCCAGAAAAAGCCATACAACCTCGCCAAAAGTAGAAAGAAAGAAAAAGCCAGAGCAGCAGTCATACAAAAAAAATGCTTATTGCCTGAGTTAGTTCAGGTTGAACAGGAAAATAATTGTTCTTGGCACCCACACATTGCTGCAATTGGCCTGCACATCATGGCCTCAAGAAAAATATTTTCCTATTCAGTCTCCCTATTTAGTCAACAAGTACATATAATGTAAAGAGATCATAAGAACAGTAATGAGGAGATAAAACAGCAATTATTACACAAAATGTTAAATTGTACATTCATGTATAATGCAATGTACCTTCTCCAAGTGTTACATCTCTGTTTATGGCCCATTTTATAGCTCCTCTCTTGGCTCCAGTTACTCCTCTTTGCTTAGAGTCCAAATAGTTTGACAGTGATGTGGGGCCATCTGAAATTCAATGAGACAATAATTTTTTTTTATACCTCACAAAGCTGACAATGAATTTAATAGTTAAAAGGTCTTGATGGTCAGAGCTACATGCATGATCTGCCAGAGGCCAAATATGTCTTCAAATGTGCTTAAAATTCAATTATGATGTCAAAATTTTGACTCTTGCTTAGCAACCTGGCCATTTGACATAACAGCTGAGCTGATAGCTATCTGTTTGAAAACGTCAGGAGCTACAGAAATAGCATTCTGGACCTCCCCCCCCCTTAAAAAAAATGAAGTAATTAAGACAAGTATTGATTATCATTTCTTTTCTGGCTTCCATGCAATCTCTTAATTTACCATTTATGGTAGATCTTCATGTTTCATCATTAGTAATTACTTTTTTGTTGCAAAATAGATGTAACGATTGTTAAAAATGGTGGATTGTTAAAAATGGTGGAACTTAATATGCACCCGGCCTTGAATAAGTACCCATTCTCGTAGTCCATACATTAAACAGGAGCCCAAGGGGCTTAATGGTGGAGGAGGAGTAAAGGAGTAAGAGGTGTTTGGTTTCCCCGGCACACATCTCCTTGAAGGGAATGAGACTTTGGGGACTTAATGATTCATTAAAAATCCCCAATTTCCAACAGATTTTCTTAGAAAATAAAGAAACTGAAGGAAAAGAAAGAAAAGAACAGTCTAGTCATTAAAAAAGCACTTTTCTGTAGTTTTTGTTTTTACTTTTCACGCAACAATGTGAAGGCTTATGCGCCAAAAAGTAAATGAATAGGATGTGTGCAATTAATTAAGGAGTTTTAGACAAATATTTTGATATCCCAGTGTGATAGCATGTTGTGCTCGAATTAATCAGATAGTTTCCAGTTGGAAAAGAAGTAAGGAAAGTTCTGTTGGTGATTCAGAAAGTATTTTCCTTATTTCAGGAACTGAAAAAGCTACATTTCCTTCCAAGTCAAGACCCTCTCAAGCAAACAGATCCTCTTAAGAATTTTAAAAACATTTCTTAAAAGCTTCTGTGAAGGTTTCACATGGATTAAGAAGCCACTTGTATGCAAATTGCCCTGCAGGCCCAAAACAAAAATACATTTTACCTCAGTCTACACAAAACAGTCAGTGATCAATATGATAAAAAATACATCACTACACAGTCACACAGAAATCACGTACATGGCAGAATTAAGCATCCTCATGGATATCATACAAAATTCATCACTTGTCTGTTATTATAAAAACCAATATTTAATTGACGAACATGCAGATTTAATTAGCCTGCTATATTCACTACAGTAACTCAATTGTAAGAAAATAGGTGGGTGATTTTCAAGCCACTTTACTAATCAATTTGACAAAGCTTAATTTCTTCTTGTACAGTTAAAGAACACAAGGTCTGTGATTGTGCGATAGGATGAACTGTGTGTCAGCCAGTGGTATTCCTTGATTGCATGACTAGCCAGAGTGGCTCAAGAGGCTTCTGTGGTTTTGTGTTTTTTTATTCTCAGTATGGTTGGTTATAACACAATAAACATTCCACACATATTTTTGAAATTCACAGTTCTTTTATTTTACTAACGTGACCGTGCATATCATTGTCCTTGGAAGGTTTAAAAATAACAAAGTTTGATGTCATGAAAGCCAAACATAGTTACAAACTTACGTAAGAAGAACTGTCCATTAAGCACTTTATCATTTCATTGATTTTATCAAATCCATTCACAAAAATCTACCAACCTGGTGAGAGTTAATCATACAATCTTGATTTCTTTCAATGAGATTCATTGATTTTTTGCATGAACCATAAAAATAGAAGCAATCAAGGTTCATTTTTATGTTTATTACTACTACAATATCTTTTGTTAACCTCCAAAACACAATAAATTTATGAACATGCACAATCTGCCGCCAATTAACTTTCTTTTTTTTTTGTGGGTGAAAAAATATCATCAATTCATTACCACAACAGTAGGGAAAGCACTCAAAGATATATTGGCAAAATTTTTTTATGTTTATTGAAATTTGGAAATAATTAATTCACTTTAAGAGGGTGAAGATTTTAAATAGTGATTTCTTGCACTCAGATAGTCAAACAATCTCACTTTGTCACAAGAATAAAATGAAACTTCCTCGGATTTCATGGGAGTTATTTTTATTACTTAATCTGGCTCAATCTATTTTTTGTTTTAATAAACATCTTAAAAAGAAATTTAGAAGGAGCTTCTTACAGATTTTTACATCTATCCATTTGATTATTATACACTTTATATGCTTTCTTGATAAATGAAATGTGTCTAAACAATAAGTCAAACCAAATTAAATGCTAAAAAAAATTACAAGCATTCTCTCAAGGTACAAGTTGTGTTGAATCACCTTTCAATAATGGAGAATTTGCTGTATGAGTTATTCTTAGATGTATAGAAACAGTATTACAATTTTAATAAGGTAAGGCATTTGATTTTAAATCAATTTGTGGAAAAAAATCTCTTGAGGGAATTCAAACTGTTTATGGAGTATTCTTCTTAGTTTTTTATTTAGACCATAGGCCATTGTTTAGACACTAGTCTGAAACCCTAAAATTATAACGCAATCAAAGATGCCTTTTGAAACATATCCAGCTGACCTAAATTAATTCAAAACAATTGTTCAAAAATTTAATGATATTTGACAAAAAACATAATGTTCTATACTCACATGTAAAATTTTAAAGTTTCATGAGGAAAGATTTTTTTCCTTGCGATATGCAGAAAATTAAAAAAAATCAAGTTATAGCATGTTATGACACAGGTATACATTCAAGAACTAGATAAATGTTGAAACACAAATATTCATTAAAACCTAACACAGGGAACATTCAATTGCTAAAATTTTTATTCAGGAATAAATATCTTTCGAGCTGAAGTTACCTATTTTAATGACTTTGAGAACAATAATTGTCAACTATGTATATATTTATGTTCACTTTGTGCTTAAATTTTCTTTGTGCAGGAATTATATCCCCATAATCTATTAAAATCCAAAGAACACATGGCCAACTGTACAATGAATGGCCATTGATAATAGAAGAATCAGAAGTAGATTGTTGAACTTTCACATATCTACAAATCTAGGAACAATAAACAAGATTACAAAACAGAAGGATTACTTTTCTCTTCTACAATAAAATCCACATTGACCAGTTTTTAAATAATAGTCAACACAATGAAGAACTCTTCAGAAACAGTGCTTGTCAAACACCTTTAGAAATGTTAGTATTTTTCCTGAATTAAAATGATAAATTAATTGTTTTGCTTTTTAGAGGATGTGGTTTTTAAATGTTTAACTGTTCACCTTTCACTAAATCAGATTTTTTCAATCAGATACCTTTTGGCGTAAGTAGGCCTAATTATCAACGACAACATTCTTGTTATCAATTCAAAGCACTCCTAAAAAATTCGCTGTTGACAAAAACATAGCAAATGAGGCATCTGTAATTGAAAAGCGCGCTTTTTAGCACAATGGCATCATCAAGTGACTTCTTATAAACAAAGTAAACAATATTAATGGTTACACTATTTCCATGTGTTTTATTCTTCTTTAAGATCAAAGCAATTCCCTATATTTGCTCTTGTGAATAGGTAACCTGCCACTCATTATATCCACAAAATTAATGAACAATCTGCCACACATAGTTTCAGAACTCTGCACACATTACATTTTGTTCCAGCTGTGATAAAAATAAGGCTTCTCCAAAAGTACTTCGACTACTAAGTTCGGCGAAAATTTCAAGGCTTCCTCTCAAATAACTTCTACCCGGTGCGATAATTTGACCAGATGTGCATTTACTTCAAACTTCGCGGCTATAAGTTTAATATGAAAGCCACCAACCTCGAGGAGAAGTAAACCAATAAAATGCGTTTCAAATGAAAATAGAATATTACAAGTAATCGTAAATTGCACGTAACTTACAGTTCGCACTTTGAAGTCTAGCATTACAGTGAAGTATAAATGAAACAGCACATTAACTTAGACTATTGCAAAATAATTTTGACACGAGAATGTATACAATATAACTTTAATAGTGAAACTCGATTAGCATATTATCACAAGGTATTGCTACCGCTTTCTCATTTAAAATGGTTATTGTGATTTTCTACCCACCTGCCTTCAGAATTTCGCCTATTTAAGATCGTTGGACGCAACAGAACTTATCGACACGCATTACATTTTAGCACTTTCTGACAAAGTAATCTCTCTACCAGAATAGTGTGGTTAGTTTTCACAATGCTACAACTGCCAAGACGTATGTAAGTTTCAAACCAATTATATAAGAATTTCCATATAGTGCAACTGTACTTTCTGTCTCGTAATGCCTTATCTGTACTTACACCCGGAACGAAACCACACTGTAGAACTGTCGGGTCGACATAACACGGTACACAATCTCCTTTCAGCTGACAGAGTATTCCCTCGATGATTACGCATCTTTAGCTAGCAACAATATTATTTGTGAGGAATCGATCGATCGATCGATCGCCCCTGTGTTTAATTGTGTGCTGAAGAAATTAACTTTCGAGATGTAACGATAGATTTTATAATTCAACGCCTGTCCAAAGGCGACCCTTATCTCTTTATACTGAAGCACGTTTGATGAAGCAAAAGCTAGGGTGCAACGAAAAGAAAAAAAACATTTGCTCATAAACACTGTATTTTTGATCGATAAAACCGGGTGTATGCAATGGTGCAACGTGATATGAATCCCGTGAAGCAGATGAAAATAGAGCTTACCTAAATCAAAGAGACCGATCCAGTCATTAGCTCCACACTGCTCTCTGATATCCCAATACACAGTGACACTGTCTCCAACAGAAATCCTTGTCTTACTTAATTTAAGCATTGAAAAACCAGGTCTTCCACCGTCTCCTCGGGATTCGAGAAGACAATCTTCACTAACTGCCCGTCGTATATTCGCCGATGCTTGTATGTCGCTGCGTGGTCGGTACCCCAAAAGTATCACGTCGTTTGACGGCATGTCAAGCCCACTGCATCAGTAAAGTTTTCGCGGATCGGCCCGATCATTCCGCCGTCACAGGCACGAGATGGCTCGGAAGAATTGTCCAACAATGTTGTCAAAAGCTGATCACGTTCAATTAGTGCGCGCGCAATGCAACTTTTAACCGGAAATACACGGTCTCGACGGAATAAAACAAAGAGACGTATTTCCGGTTTTTGTAAACATTTCAAAATGAATTGTTTTTGTCACCTTCTTCGGTAAGAACTGCAAGCTTTAACTTCCATTTTCTATAACCCTCATCATTTTCATTTGCTTACTCACTTTCAACAAGCGTTGATATCAACGGAAGTCTTACTTAAGCCGGAAGTAGCCAACATGAAATCAAAATGAAAATAACACGTCTTACAAACTATCGGATCAAAATATATACCTGGTTAAGACACGGGAAAAAAAAAAGACTTTCAAAATCGTCTCGTTCCATTGATCTTTCGGCCAGAAGGAATGACGATTTTAGGCCGAGTTTGCTCTGCAGGGATATTTGAATTAGATTAATGAAGACTGCACACGATCGTAAACCGCAGACTTCCTTGTCGAGATCTCACAATATTTCACGCAATGATGATCAGAGAATGCCGAAGCCTCACTCGCAAATCAAGTGATTTTGCATAAAAGAAAAACAATTGCTTGTTCGTTATTGTTCCCCAACAAAATACTCTCCATTTTCTCCCTTTCCTCGAACGAAAAATTCTTACAGGGAAATTCCGTGCTGAACAAGAAAAATTCAACAATAAGCGTTAACCCCACGAGTTGAAGTTGAAGCTAAACAATTAATGCAAGAGCACGTTTCATTGCGAACTCTTTCGCTTTCTCTTAAATGAAGTAAATTTTCATGATGGATATTTGTGTCCCACGTTACCAGTGCTCTATCAACATACCGTTTTTTTTTTCTTTTTTTCAGTGGAATGCTGCATTGCATTTCCCTGTAAGTACAAGGCTCGCGAGTCGTGATCACTGTTCGTGCAAGGTAATTTTGGTAGGATGGGGTGGGTGGTGAAGGGAGTTTTTACCTTTCTCTAACGGTATGAGCGGGCACTCGGCGAGCAATTTTATGGCTTATGGCAGTAGTTTTGATTAAGCAAGGCAATCAAGTCGAGTGTTTTCAATTTTGTTTGTTTTTTTTTTACTCAATATCTTCACCCAAGAAGACATAAACTGAGAGAACTTATCTCCCTTACACACCAGACTGAGAGAACTTACTTATCTCCCTTACATACCCCTATTCCAGCGATCTTTTTTTTTTTCGAATCTTTTTGTAATCTATATTCTCTAGTTTTCCTTATGAACCTACTGAATAGCTTCCGGAGTACGTCATTCGCTTTATGACCGGAAGAAACAATAGGAAAACAGAAACACCGCCCCAATTTTTCTTCGGTAGTTTCAAAGATTCGTTCACGCTCTGGAAAGAATAACAGCGTCGATTCTGATCTGAGTTGTGGTTGTGATTGAGCTCTCTCGTTATATTTCTCAGCGGAGAGTTAGGAAAAGTCCAGATTACCACGTCCACTTAAGCTCCTTACCTCCCTACATTCCGATTAGTTATAAGAATTTGGTGTTAGATCAAGATAACAGCTACTGCCTGATAAGTTTGAGTATTCCCATTACCTGTTTGCGGGATATTACAAAGATGTTGTAGATAGTGTTTGCTTTATAATGTATGCATATTATTGAGAGAGGTTACATGTTAATCACTTCTGGGACTTAATTATTTAGCTAGAGATCACTTGCTCAGTGCTGAAGCACTGTTGCGCGGGGTTGCCATTTGTAGCAATACTGTCTCCAAACTTAAAGAGCGTTAAAGATAAAACGATGCATGGGAAATGAAAGACGTAGGAAAGACGTAGTTTTTGTGCACAATTGTTGATTGGGAGTCGGTTTGGATATGAAAATTTCTGTAATGCATATATTTAATACGATTCCATAATGAGCTTCTGACGTCAGTCAAAGCCGCACTTGACACGAAAATTAACAAAAGAGGACGAAAAGAGAACGTAAGTCAACGGAAACGACTTATTTTTGGCTCGATAGATTATTAACTTAATTGTTGAAACTGAAATACCAAGTCGTCCAGACATGAACACCCTGGGTAGGGCCGGGCGACGGCTAACGAAACAATCCCCAGTATAAATTTCTATAGATAGGCACACAGAAGCCAGGCCAAATTTACTATCCATTCGAGATTTCTTCACTCGGAATCCACTCAGATTTTTTGCAATAATAAAAAAATTGCATGCGGTCAGTCGGTTTTGTGGTTTGGCGGTTTTGGATGTTGTTTTTCTGCGGTTTCTAATAGACCCCAATGCCCCTATCAATTAGGCTAAAAAAAACCTGCCAATAAAGGTTAACAAGCAAGAGCAAATAACAATATTCGCGCAGTCTATAGCTAAGAGCACCGGTGCCGATCTAGCTACGAATCATGAAGTCGAAACGCTGAAAGCGCAACTTATTTAAAACAGCCTAAGTTAGAGACACATGTAAAAAACAGAAAACGAAAAATGTTGGATTCGTGTGGAAGACGGAGCTGAACAACCATTAACAATGGAGGATCGGAGCGATTAAAACAGAGGCCGGAAAAAAACCTGCCCGAAAAACCCGATGGGAAAAACCTGGGCAGGAAATCTGGTTAGGAACCAAAGCTCTAACTCCGGAAACTATCAGCCCATCCTACGAAGGCTCGCGCAATTTTTCAGACTACTTTTGTTGTTATTTGTTTCAGTTTTTATTTTCCCGGTGACCTCTGAACTGATAATCATGTTGCTAAAGCAGAAATATGTTTCGGATCCTTCTAAGAGACTGTTTAACCCTCGCTCAGCGGCTAAAATGACTCCGAGTCGGGCCCCAAGACATATTTGCGTCCGTGAAAAATAAACTCTACTGATTTAATACACGGAATCATAGAAACTTGGTTTTAGTTTAATTTCGAAGGCTAAATTCAATCACTTTGTACGTCTGAATTTTGGCAAGAGTAACCAACGAACAAATAAGGCAATTTGAGGTTATTCTAGCTGCATTGTGGGGAATATTTCGCAGGATTATAGTCATACAAAGAGGGTTGTTTGAGCGATTTACAAATGAATGACAGAGACAATTCGAGATTTTTTTGGTTTTTGCATTAATTGGGTCTGTAATTGGTTAATATAACTCACGCCATCCTCCTTTGGATCCCAATCGCGACTTGATCGCCTGCGTTTTCCCGCGTTTTTGATGGTTTGCTTGTTTTTACTTCGAGTGCTCTTTGGCTGATGATGATGTAAACCTTTGTTATGTGATTACTATAGTTTTTGGTTTTTTGACAGTCAATTGAAAACTGCTCTGACGAGCAAAGGACGACGTAAGATAAGTGCAAACCCTCAAAATCCCCACACTCAAAACAAAAGGAAAGGAGTAAAGGTCCAGCTGAACTTCACCCTAAACGTTTGACGACAAGAGATTATGAGTGATCTCTTGTTAACGGTCAAATTTTTGGACCTTGAATTTCGCGCTCTTTGGCTAAGGGACTAACGGAACATATAATTTTGAAATAAGCAAAAGGACATTTCAAAATGTATAGGAGAACGCAGAAACAAACAAACAAAACCAAGTTAAGCAGTTGGTGGGGAAGTAAGGGTGTTGCGCGACATGCGACCACCTCTAACTCCTTGCTAGGGATAATTCACGTAATGTCGTGCTTGTGCCAGTCTCTCGCGACTATCGACTACTCCAGTCGATCATAAAGTTCGTAACATTTTTGAAGTTACATTTTCTTTGAAGCAAGTTGCTCTAAATTAATTTCAAATCCAAATGAATAACTCAAATGAGAGTTAAAATTACAGCATTACTTCCATATTATTGTACAACATATTCCCGATTTTCAAAGAGAGCAAAAACTCTCTTTGGTCTGTCACGCAATCCACACGAGCTTGACAGGTGCAACAAAATTTTCGTATAGCGCTAAGCAGTCAAAACTACTAACACGAGAATTACAAAAAAGGCAAAAACTATCCCTGAATTAAATTACAGCCTCAACACACGACTAAAATTTCTTTCTTCCAAAAATTCTTCAGTTAAATGTTCCGCTCGATTGGGTTTATAGAGGAAAACCCAAATTTGCAATTCTTACGGCTTCTACTACGTGACTGTCACGTGCTTATTCAAAACTTGCTGGGCGAAGGTCTGTGAGATGATCAGGCATGATGTACGTGATGTCGTCCCAAGGATGTCTGTACAGACCCATCTTTAGGCGTTTTTGGTCCAAATAATGACCTACAAACGAATCCAAAAACAATCTTAGCAAACATATTCTTTTTTGATGAGACGAACTCGTCGAGGTGGGGAGAAATAGTAGGGGGCGTACTTGGAATGGGCGAAACTTCCAAACAGCCCGCTGACAAGTCTGTCGATCCATTCCCCCCCCTTCTTCGTTGGCCCACTTCTTTCTCTATGAATTTTGGTGCGTCACAATCTTTTTAATTTACCACAAAAACTCACTAACCAATGAATCCAATCGATCTTCCCAAAACAAACAATCCATTTAGCGCTCCAATCTCCACAAATTCATCAGATTCCTCCCTGAAATGAGACATGATCAAAAGAAAAGAAGACTTTATGACGCAATAACCTATTACTTCTACATACAAAAGATTGAGAAAATATTGCGAGAGAGAAAATCTCCTGCTTTCCGGCGCTGCCACGAAGAAGAACAGAATATATTTATAATAGCAGGAAGTAAAATAACTTATGTGATGAATGAAATTGGATTCGAGGAAAACAAAAGAGTTAAATTTCTGCAAAAACCGAAACAAACTCAAGCGACCCACGATAAAAACATTTTAAATTATTAATAGTATTTTTTTTTGTTTCGCTTGCAACAAAACTCGCAGCGCGCCACAACACTTCCTTTCACCATAACGTTTAACGTTCTTTTCGCATAATGAAACGAAAATATATACCTGGTGAATGCTCCACAATGACGAAGCAGATCTACGAAGGCAGCACCGATACAACCGTCTACATTGAGGATAAGATTCGGCTTCTGTTAAGATTAGAAGCAAAATTCAATGTTAAGTGCATTACTTATGAGGCTGGATAGACGTTATTTGCAAAGCTCTGTACCCAAAACATAAATTTATGGGTAAAAAACAGCAATTAATTGAGATCATGTCATCGTTTCACTTTGCTTTCATTTCCTGTAACTGTGTAAACAGTTCTCATCAATTGGACCGAATCTCGAAACCGAAAAACCAAAACCAAAGTAATCACAGTAACCAATCAGAACAAAACACAACATCAAGAGGAGGACAATCAGAATTCGAGGTTAATAAACAAGTTAACTGACTCAGACGCGGGAAAAAGCAGGCGTCCAAGTGATGATTAGTTTTAGTTCGGATTTGATTGGTTAAGAAAGTGGTATGAGTTTTCTGGACCAATCACTTGGAGAAATAGAAGAAAACCGAAACACTATCGATTATTAGACACTCGACTGGAGATTGCCTCATGAACTCTCACTGTGTTTAGTCAGAGAGAGAAAAGAGAATCAGCCCCAAGGGGGGATGTCCCTCGGAATTTGACCAAGTAATGCGGAAAATGTTACCCATGAGGACCTGGAGACAAGACAACAAAAAAAATGCGCAAGCCTTTAAGAAGAAGAACACAGGGGAAGATACGACTTTGGGAGTGTGAGCGATTTTGCTGCATTCCTAAGTATCCCAGTATGTTCCCGAAAGGAGTATCAACCCCTAAGCTCTCAGTCATTTCCGTATCGAAAACTTACCTTTGAAGTGGTGATCTTTTCGACTTCAATGGCATAGTCCATCACTGGGTGGGTGGGAAAATGTTTGTTCACAAAGTCTTTAAGAATCACAACTCGCATGTCGGGATTGTTGAGCTAGTTAAAAAAAATCGTGTATTAAGTATTCCAGTCGTTTTTAAGAGATTCATATAGCGGACGGTTTACCCAAAAGATAACTTTCAATAACACAAACTAATGCCACAGGTTCCTTACAGATTTGACTCTGTGTCCAATTCCCATAATTAGTTGTCCTTTCTTTCGCATGTCATTCACGAATTCCATGGGCGCCATTCCACTGTCAAGACCATGAGAGAACATTTGAGCTGCTCCGTCTAAAGCTCCGCCGAATCTGTCACCCTGAAAAAAAACAGCAATATTTTCAAAAATGAATGGCGTAGTGACAACTTGAATCGTTTGCAAGATGGCCTCGTCGACAGAAGAACCATTTTTCGTTATCAGTTTGTAATTTAGCTGAATACCGCCAAAAAGCATCTCATATCGAGAAGGCACCTTGAATATTCCCAGCAGCTTTGTTAGTTTTAATGATTTTCCCTCAGATGTCTCGCTTGTCGTCCAATTCAAGCTTGATTATCACATTCGCCGGAAGCAAGGCATTAGAGAATGCATAAGCAAAATGCATCTAAATCCCACTATGTCCAAACGGCAGTCCAAACCACTATCACACATGTGCTCTTTGTGTTAGTGTTTCACTTGTGGTATAATCCTTGATCCCAAAAGCTTCGCGACATCATCATTCGCGGTTTACATCAAATTTGTGGAAAACTTACATACGAATGCAGTTTACGGCTTGGAGTTTCTTTCTACTTACAATTGTGAGAAGACCAGACACCAGTGATGATATGAGGTCCTTGCCAGCTCTGGCTGTCACGATAGTGTTGTGTGCACCTGAAACGGCTGTGCGTGACAAAAAAAAGGTCATTTGTGTGACAATAAAACCAGCAGTATTGATACTAGCAGATTTCCTTAGTGTGTCGATTTCATCGGATAAACTACTTACATATAGTTGGGCTTTAACTAGACAAAATGGCTAGCTGCACATGCACAGTCATGCTATCTAAACTTCAGTTATTGTGCCAAAGATTTTTAGGTTTGTGACGTGGAGCAAAACGTGACACTTTCTGAACGACAATCATTTTTATGTGACCAGTCTAGTGTGACACCTACCTGGTCCATGGTCAGCGGTTATCATGAGGCACATTTCAATAAATTCATTTGCATAAGGAGGTAACCTAAAAACAGACAGAAAGATACCTTAGTCAGGTCATTTATGAAATAGCGTCAGTCCTTATCTATTCACATGTAGCAAAAACCGCTAACAAAGGAAGAAGTTTATAGAACTTGGTAAACGTACTTTCTTTGAAACCATAACAAACCCAGGACTCCTCCAACACCCATGTCTTCCTGCGAGAGTTAAGTTGAAGGCAATTATTAATATGTCAAATAAGTAAAGTGACTGCCTCGTTCCCAGAGGGAGACTCCCATGAAAACGAGGTACATATAATGACGTTGCGTGCCGTTTGGCTAAGGGAGTTTCGACTGAGTACCTATATGCTGAAGGTAGGTGGTTATGAGTTCGGCGGCCAAAATTCCGTTAAAAGGCCTGATAATGCAATCTACCGGAGATTCTTGCGGCTTTTTTCTTCCCTTGACCGATTCCGAAGCGTAACGAGGGATTTGAAAATAACAGTAGACTGAAAAAGATGCAGAGTTTTTGTTTCGCCCCATGAAGAATTCTACAGATTAAAAATAAGCGTTCATACCTTGAACACCTCTGTGATTGGCATGCCAGCGTACAGGAGCTCTGCTCCTCTCTCATCACAGATACTTGACATGAATGAGGAGGGTTTGCGGATCAAACCAAGCTCCTATAAAATACAACCACATCAAGTATGAAGAAAAGTGAAGATGTAAGAAGAAAATCCTTCATACAGACATTCTTTCAACTGTTACAGGGCAGCAATGATTTGAATTAGCCGTCAGAGTATAGCTAGTGGAACACGTAACACTACCTACAGCTGTAGGTTATAATCCCATTCTTTTACCCTTTCACTCCCAAGAGTGACCAAACATGAATTTCATCTCACAATATCATTACATTTTCAAGTAGAAAGGTTATGAGAAGTAGAAAAATCATAGTATTTGATTGACTACCAAATTCTTAGATAAAAAATGACAAGGGGTGAGTGACAAACGGTGCGTAGAATATCTAATTAGATATTAAAGATGACAAGGTTAAATGCAATCTCCCGCCTTGATTGTCAAAATTCTAGGGCTCACACACCTACCCGGCAGGACAAAGTGATCTACAAGTGACTTCAGCTTAGTTTTTTCTTAATAGAATGGATAATTTCTGTTTCTCCCTACACCGCTTTACTACACCACTCCACCTAAATCTGAGTCTGTAATTTCTAGACTGATTATACTTGCACTCAATTCCCAGCATAACATTACGGGATCTAGGGATTTTTGATTGGCTAGGGGAAAGGGGGGAACCCAAAAATTAGTTCAAAAACACCGAATTTCTTTCAGCACCATACCCCAAAAACGCTAAGGAACATTTTAAGACAAGATCATTTTGAATAACTCATGATGTTTGAACTGACAGTCTTTCGGTGTCAGATAAAGAGTAAAAAGAATGCCGCAAGTCTTACTTAAGGGAATCCGGATCCTCCACTACAATTTTACTAACCTGTGCCCATGAGTAATCCATAGGGACTGTTGGAGGAACTTTCTCGGGTTTAGGAACGATTGTCCCGTCCCTAACGAGCACTTCATAAACTTCCCTGTAGAAATAAGAGCAAAATTGCAAAGTTAGGATACTTTCTTTTGTTTGCAGTGATGACTACAGTTTGGTAGAAATTCTCGTTCCTATTGAAATGTAAGGAATCATAAGACAACTGATTTTGTAGTCGCATCTGATTGGCTGTGAAGATGGGAAAACTTCATGAAGATCAGAATACAACATAATGATGATATCATTATAAAAAATCTGGACCTTTTGATTAATCGAGCTCAAACTTGGTGTGGAGTACACAGTTGATGTAAACAGTTGAAAGCAAAAAGACACAAGAACGAGGAAAACAATGAAAACAATAGGTTAAGAAAGTGAAGTTCTATTGTGATGTGTCTTGTGCACGTGTCTTCTTCGCCAAGGAGCCATTATTTATTTGTTTCCTAGATGTTGTACCATATCCTCTTGACGAACGTCTTGCAATTTTCTGGTGTCTTTTTTAAATACGCTAACTATTCAAGTCATATATATATAAAAAATTTTTCAATATTACGTTGGGGGGGTATTTTACCTCTTTCAATCACCCATCTGGCGAATGGAAAATGCGTCGAATATATAATAAATTTTAATTGACCGAAAGCGTTTTAAAGTGTCTTAAGTTAAATGCCAACTTATCGGTATGTTATGTCAAAAAAGAAAAAAAAAAAAAAAAAGGAGAGAGAAAGAAGGGAAAATAAAAGAGAAAGGAAGGAATGAAAAAAACTGCAAGGTCACCTACTTGATCATTTCAAACAGAGAATCAAAACTGTCTGGTACATACGCTCCAGCATCTTTCAAAGCCTGTGAATAGATTGAAAAGAGACACGAAAAACTATTTCAAGTTTTCTGTTAATTGATAAGTCCCTTGTGACTTTCAGGTATATAAATCGATGTAACAATATGATGTACGCTCCAAGAACCAAATCAATCTTATCTCCGCCCTAAAGGAATATATAATAAATTTACTTCTCGAAGCAGTTTGAGAGTCAAAATACTTAGTACATAACCGAAAAATGTCCTAAAAAATTGATACTGGACACTGCTATATCAAAACCAACTCACAACTAACCTAATCACGCGCACATGACGTTGCAGAGTTTAACCCGAGCGGCAGAAACCACTCTACATCGATCACAAACAGCCCCTGCTTTGGTTGCCGCAAAAACCCGTTATTTCAGTCGATAGGGCTTTTTTCTTAAACTCCTAATTGTTCAAACAGATCACCAAGAGATGGAAAGTAGTGGATAAGGACTCTGTCACATGACAGAAAAGAGCCTAGTTTGCTGAGAAATATTCAAAATGCCGTCTTCTGAAGGGAGTTTTTCTCACTTTTGAAGACAATTCTATCACGTTGGGAAGACCTCCTGACTGCACATAAATTTTAAATGACGAAAATAAAATCAAATGGTTTCTGAAGTATAATACTCCTTCTAAAAACATTTTAAAGTTGCTGTACACCTCATACCCTGTACATTACTTAATATTTCTTTTCGAGCTTGGTCAGTAAATTTGATTAAATCCTTACTTTGTTTTTGGCAACCGCTGTTTCGTTGTCTCCATGAGCGCTGGCTCCGGCATGGCCAAACTGCACCTAATCAGGCCAATAAAATACAAGTTATTAGTACCCAAATACTGACGAGAATTGTTTCTAAAGTCTTCTGCAAGTTCGCGAAATTACTGGTGCCCAATTTACGCACCTCTGACGTGAACATTGATGCGCATGTTCCAATGCACCAAACCACGATGGGCTTGGTTACCGTGCCGTCCTTAATGGCCTCACAGATCTCGTATTCCTCGGTTCCACCAACCTAGGATTTACAAGAGAATTGAAAGGCAACTGAATACGACATTTCGACCTAAGCATATTGAAAGAAATATTTTAGTCCAATTTAAACTTTTTTCATCCTGAGTTATTCTTGGTTTATCCCAACTTCTCTCGTATTTTTTATCTAACTATACTAATAGATATTAACAACGATGCATCTGATAGTGATGCATTTCCATAGCACATTTCCCACATCAATATGCACCATTGCGCTTTCAAAAACTTTGCGGAGTTCTTTGACCAGACTGCATTGAGAAGTTTACAGTTGTTCAAAGAAAAGTTTGCAGGTGCCCCCAATTAAGGAATTTTTGGGAATACGGCCAGATCACAACACCGGAAACTACGTTCCCTATTCTTTGGGAGAAAAGTGTAGATTCTTTAAGGTCCCCTGATAACCAGTACTCAGAAGATTCAAGAGACGAGGCCTTCGGGTGACTTACTTATCAAAGAAGACTAGAAAGTCTAACCATTTGCAGATGGCATAGCAAAGGCAGAACATTCTCCCCCGTTATTTAAAGACCCAAAGTGTTGGTTCTATCTTGGGTTTGAACCCTTCCCCTCCCGTACGGCAATCCGGCGCTCTACACCCTGAGCTAACCAGGTGGGTCAGTCATTTACAATCCTTTTAAATCTTCCGCATCATTGGCCACCCTTACTTCCTCCTTTTTGTATATTTTTGCGTCAATTGTATTATTTCATCTTTACCGAGCTGGTGATCTCCTTTAGAGCTCAAGATGGTTGAGCACAACGCCAAAAATAAGAATCATATTTCCGTAACTTAACTACTTTCAAACAATGAACAAACACGCAGACACGCACCTCTCCAAGGACAACGAGCATCTTCACATCCGGGTTTTCTTGATACCTCATCACGTGATCCATAAATGTCGTTCCCGGATACCTGTCACCTCCGATGGCCACACCTTCGTAGACGCCGTCGGTGGTTCGTGAGATGATGTTGTTGAGTTCGTTAGACATTCCACCTGATCGAGACACGTAGGCAACGCTGTAGATTCGAAAAAGAACATTTCCTTGCAATGATCAGATTAACACAGGCGTTCTCATGAACCATTAACATCCTAAGATCAGTACGAATATTCTCCATTCTGGTCCCTAAACATTTCCTAAGGTGCTGACAAGAGCTTCAAGAGATTCTTTGGTTGGTGATCATTTCCGTTTTTCTCGTCACCTTGATGTAAGATTCAGTGGTGATACTTTAGGGAGAAATCAAATTCTAATCACTCTTAAGGGTCAATGGGTTAATAAGATTAAACAAGCATTTCCTCTAGTTGGTTTAAAACATGCATTCTTATATATTGGCTAGATCAAAACACGTATTCTCACAAGTGAAAATAGATCAGGCATTCTTATTGGTTGACTAAGTTTTTTTCATAAGTTAAATAAGAAACACGCATTTTTCTTGGTCATTATCATCGTTAGTTTCAAAACAGGTTTACTTGAGTGGAAGTACCTTACACATAACATTTCTCTCTACCGGAAACCTTTCTGTGAAAATGGATTTTGCATGTTCGATTACGCTTTGATTTACTGAGTTTTAACCGGAGGATAAGGTACCACTGTTTTCGAAAACTCGAAGCGGCTTGAATAATTGGTTTTTGGCCTATCTGAAGTTGATTTATTTAACAGCCTTGATGTGAAGCACCAGCGGCGTAACCACATCACTGTTACGTTCAGCTTACCTTCCCGGCCTATACAGCTTTGATGCCAAAATGTTATCCAACATACCACCGGTGTTACCGATCTTGAAACACCCAGGTTTGATGCCACCAACCTAGAAAAACCAAGACGGACGCGGTTACGTAAAAAAGGGGGTTAATTCAATTCACGTGACTGACTCAGAATCGGGAGGGGGAGGGGAGAGAGGGGATCAAACTTTGGTTTAGAAAAGACAGATTTTTAAAATTAAACACTAGAGCTTGAATAAGATAAGGATCATTTCAAGACAAGTTTATTTAAAATACTTGATATCAAGTGGTAACATGCGAATCTGTCGTCCCAAGAATTTTGGTGTCAGAGCCCTGGTAAAAAAACCCACTGCGCTGATGGGGTGGGGTTTCCAGACCCCCGAGACTACGGAACCTGGATCGACTTCCTCTTATTATACTCGAAACCATACCCCGAGCAGGATGCCACAGGATCTCCAGCCTACCGTTTCACAACTAAACTATTTGGTGCTCTGAAAAGTTGTCTTCCGGTAGGTTTACAAGAACAAAGGAAGAACTTTTTCAAATTGTACTTACTGTTGCTGGGCCGATAATTGTCACTCCAAGTTCCTTAGCTTTCTGATTCAGTTGCCTGGTCTTTGCCTCAGGGATTCCCTCAGCGATGATAGCAATCGTGCGAATCTGTCAACGACAATTGAAAAAAAAAAAGCTTAAATTCAGTGTGTGCGAAATTTGAGATGGGAAGAAACAGCTGCTAAACCCACACGATGGACAAACCAATAACATTCCACAACCTATCAGATGCTCTAGGCTTCCATTTCAATAAAAGAAACTTGCCATGAGCAACCCCGTGTTCTCAGCTCCAGCGTTAAACGTGTCTTGCGTGATGTTAATACATGTAAAAATTCTCACCAACGCAAAAACTGTTTGAAAAAATTGTGCACCCACTGAAAAATCACTTTATAAGCTTACTTGTGGAAACTGCAGGGCTTCTAGAGTGGCATCGTAAGCGGATCTGAGCGACGCAAAATTAACCATTACATCAGCATCAGGATGTTTGTTCATAGCCTCGGACATCTCTTTGTAAACTGGAATTACAAATAAACGAGGAAAATTAGAAATAAAAAATATTTTGCGATGTTATACTCCCGCTGGTTGGGATGAAAGCAAAAAACAGGTTGTCCCTGAACCCCTCACACCACGGAAGTCCGGCGCTCTACAACCTGAGATAACCAGACAGCAGTAAAACAAAACTCAGTATTCCAATTTAGATTTCGAAAATCGACCACTTCATCCGGACTTCAGCGCACCAACTAAAAAAATCACTCCAGTGATCTCCACAGTAAAATAGAATCACAGAATTCCGTCACAACTGAAATAATATTGAATCATTCCAACCAACCTGGAATCATAATTTCTTTGTGTCCGTAGTAGAACTTCTGTCGGTGATTTCCACTGAAATAAAAGAAACGAAAAGTTTTGAATTAAATCTCGATAACTTAAAAATGTAAGAAAAGAACAACGAATAACTCTGTAATAGATGTTGATTCAAAACAGGACCAAATGTCAAACTTCTAAATATTCATCTAACAGCAATTTCTCACCTGAAAGGATACACCATAGCCGCCACAGATGGTCTCTTTCTCTCACAAACATAATCAAAATCAAGCATGCCCTGAAAACAGAGAAAAAGGTGTCGAAATTAAACTTTATGAAACAAATTATCTGAAGTCACCACGATTCTTAAAACCATTATTGATCATGTAACCACAAATAAGCTGTTTTTCGGTACTTTTATGAAGGTACCAGCCTTTCATAATTGCTAATAGGACTTGAGAGCCTTGCACGTAGGCGGGAGTCGGACCCAGATTCTATCGTTCAATCAGGAGATTAAGTTTCCACTTAGGAGCGTAGCCTACGCCGCCGGCGTATTTTCGGTGAGTGAGCCCACCATCTTTTTTTAAGCCGAAAAAAGATGAGGAGAGAAAAAAAAAAACTTGTACCGAGGGGATGGATGATAGGCAACCCCCTACTCTACCCGTCTCGGCACTCTAACCATACACCAAACAGAGCAACTCATTGAAAGATCGCCGCAGAGCTTGAAACGTTACCATTCCCTCAATAACACGCCCGCATTGCGAAATTAGGGCAGAGAAGAGACAGTAAAATGATAATTAAGTATACCTGTACTGCTCGTGCTTGCACTCCCCAGATAATTGCTCTGGTCTCACTAGTAAACAAAGGAGCTTTCTTGCCACCTGAAGCTTTGCGCCCTTGTTCTGGTGAAGGCTTCTCATCAGCTGTTTTTCCCTTGCCATTCGACATCAACAGTGCGTGTTTTCCACTGGTTACGGACCCCTGGGATGACATGACAACACTGTTGCAATGTTTTCCATTTTCGCGTATTTTTAGATAAATATCATATAAAAGCAATAGATGACTACCGAGTTGACGTAGCCTCATCTGATACCATAAGGAAGGGGAGGGGGACCTCATACTAGCAATAGAGAGGAAATTTTTACTTTGTTCTGAGCATTGAAGAACATGTTTGCTGCTGCATTTGAGTCGAAGCCAACTTCCTTAGGAATCTCTCTCTTTCTTAAGGCCATGCCTACAATGGCGGTCATGTGTGTCTCTGTTCCAAATACGTACATGGGCAAACCTAAACTGGAACCTGTAAAATATGAATATCTTAATTAAGCATGAAGGATGCAATGACTTCGGTCTAAGTCGCTTCGTGATTTGTTAAAGAACCACGCGCTATCTTCTTAACCAATCATAGGCAAAACTGAAAAAAATCGCTGCTTCACATTTCGCCGGTTTTTTTTTTTTTTTTTTAGTTCCATCAACTGCTACTAATAATTACCTTTGTTTGGATTAGCCGATGTGGTAACTGTGGTTCATTTCAAGTCAGGGTCGTGTCTTTCCACTTCTAGATAATCTATCTGTCGGTCTTACTCGCCTCACTCATACTAGACTACGATCAGTCTCCCCTTTCCGGCGAAGTCGGTCGCGCGAGACAAATATAAGAAAGCGAAAAATAAAAATGATGTTAACGTCCTGCGCAGAATTCTGGGAGAGATTTCGCGCACCTCACTCGCCGAGTTTCACGTGGTGCGCCAACATCAATGTTTTTTCCGCTGATTTTTTTGTCTCGTACGACGGATTTTACCGAAAAGGTGCGGCTGATCGATGTCTGCATACATACATGCATACATACATACATACCCCTACGCTCATACCAAAGGTTGAACAGCGGAATGAGCCAGATCATATAAGATGCAGGGAAATTCGCAACTGTGTACCCCATCCTCCTCCCTTGGAAAAATGTTGGCTGTTTTATACTTACCTACTTCCCTCATAACACGAAGACCCTCTTGATAGTTTGGCCCTCCTCTTCGCACATATATCTCCACCTTGTGCTCTATAAGTTTTTTCTGATACTCTTGGAGAGCTTTGACTATTCCCTAGAAACAAAACAGAGAACAAGAGAGAAGTTTACAAATTATTTTGAAAGTTATATGGTCAACATTGCTGTGACGATAAATGATGGACAACACCTTAAAAGTGTACATCCAGCTCTTATAATAGCATATCGAAAAAATACAGCAACAAAAATGACGAAATGACAGGTAAATTTAATTCTCGTAGAACGAAGAAAAAAATTAAAAGCTAAGTTTTTCGTTTCTCTCACGATGTAGTCAAGTGTGATGTAGATCGCGACGTTTCAACTGCATACTGCTAGTCTTCTTCAGGCGATGAGGTCAACTGGTCATGCGTGATCTTATAAAGCATGATGCTCTGCTGTGGTTAATTGTTTTTCACCAGCTTTGATCGGTGCATTTCAATTCTTGCTGTTTCACTCAGTGATTTGCTCCCTCGGCAATCCGCTGTCGTACGGCTCTCCTGTTGTTGTGTTTTTTGAACGTTATTCACCACGATGAATAACCACAACATTTTTCACGAAGAAAAAAATTGTTAAAATTTTACCATAAAAATATGTGGCTTCATGGCCCTGGCCTCACCTAAAGCATTTTCTCTAATTTCAGTTGACACGTTAATACCTACTTTTACGTGGATTAAACTACCTTGAATGTTGCCGACACATTTGTGAAGTTAGCAATACCTCCACCAATGATAAGAATCTTGCCTGTGAAGGAAATTACACGACGTAAATATTAGTACATTGTACCGTACAGTAAAGTTTGATAGCATATTAGATGGACTCGCGTAGTTTCCAGATCTTGGACTGGTTTCTATAGCGACTAGGAGAACTTCTTCCGTCCGGCCAGACTACTAGTTTGACTTGTGCCGCCCCGCGCGCGCTTTCAATGAAAAACGTCATCAACAAAATCCCCGTATTGAGCTATACTCGAAAGCGCGAGCGGGGCGTAAAAGCCACACGGCCCAAATTACGGCCCCGAAAGTTGCAAAAGTCAAGATAAGAGGGAGATAAAGACGGGGCTCATGATACAAAATGCTTGGTCTATCTTAATCCTGATGGATAACCCTCTTTATTTCAATATCGAGCCCATCTTTCTTATTTTAAATATCAGGATATTTGCATCATGTAGAAAAGAATGGGAATTTCACACATCTTACCATCAGGCCTTGGTGTACCAGTGGTCATAAGCTTGATAATCGTCTTAGCATATTCATATGTCTGTGATTCTGATGGCGCACCTGAATATTCACCGTAATTTGCCAACTCTGACGCACCACCCAAATCACAAACAGTGTCACTAGATTAACATAAACAAGAGCAGAGACATAATCACTATCATGGCAGTGCTACATTCATTTGTTTTCAAAGTTTTAACGTTGCATGCATGAGACATGTTCAGTTCCTCTCCCAACATTTCAAGAATAGATCTTTCCCTCAACAAATCTTGTATTTCAGTATTGTACAAAAGTAATGATAGCGAAATGGACGAGTTTTGTTCCTTGCTGTCGATTAGAAAGTTTGCCGCAAATTCTAGGGACTCTTTGCAGCGCCGTTTGCATCTTTGAGCTAAGAACCGTGAAAATTGGTCTTATTTTCGAGACCGAAGAGAAAATTCAATCCCAGAAGCGTAATTTGGCATGGATTCATGATAGGAGCAAAGCTATTGCGGTATTCACTATATATTGTACCAATCACATTATCAACCAGCCAAAATTGATTTCAAGGAATAGTGAAGTTGCCTCCCTGGGGTCTTGAAGGAGAAAATTCTTTTATTGCAAATGAACAAAGATCACACAGATTTTTTTAAAACTTGTTTTATCACCATTTTATTTTGTTACAGTTAGTGTTGTAAAATCACATCACAATCTTTAAGCATAAACAATTACCAATCAAACCTCGTCGGAAAAAATTTCAGCCTCAGTTCCATTTTAATCTACAACGAATGCACTTTCCTACCTGTACACCACAGAGGCCCCACCTCCAGCCACCATGGTCCAAATGCGACCTTTACTGTTCAAAATGGTTAATTTAAGAGAAGCTCCACTTTTGGCATCTAACTCAGCGATGTGTGCTTCCTAGTAAAAAAAAACAAAACGAGTTAAGGTTTCTTGTAAATTAACTACATATCACATTTTAGGATGGTGTGTACATGTTATTTTGAAGAACCAAGCACACTTCCAAGCAAGCTGGCATATTTCTTGCAGATGAAGACTGATCTGCTTTCATCTTATCCATTATATTCAATGCAGAGAAAACAATAGTCATGAAAGAAAAGCAACTTTTTCAATCAAATTGAAAATTAAGTATTTAAGTAGCACTGTTTACTGCCGTTAAGCATGATAAGCATGATAAGCATGGACACTTTTCCTCTTTCTTTATCGATTTATTTCCTAATTGTTTTGCCATCTTGTATATTGAGTAATTACAAAATATGATCATTTAACATCCCTTTGTCAATCAGGCATTTTAAAGCACTTTTTAGTTGCATCGTGTAACACCAAACCCAAATAAACCAAGACACAATCAGAGCAAAAGAAAATATCACAGGGGAAAAAGAGAGAAGTCCAAGTGAATTGAGTAGACAGTCTGAAGCAAAGGAAACTTAGAGAGACCAAGTCATAATTATCTTTGTACCTGATTGGTGGAGAGGGAAGAGTGAAATTTCTAGTCAATCCCCAACTACTTTTAGCACAAAATTAGAATTTTTTTCTTGACAAACTAGTCTCACCTCAGGATATGCCTCTCTGCCAAATGGAGGTGGGAAGTCAATTTCTCCCCATTCAGTTTTACATATAAACTCTGCAGTTTGATCCAATTTGGCAGCAAGATCAAGAACATGCACTGATTCATCCACAACCACTGAAACAGAACACAGGATTATTGCTACAATTACTTCACACTTGTCACCAGGAAATTTAAATATCAGATGACAAACTTTGGAGATTGAGGATTTAACTCAGTCATCATCATCATCATCATCACATCATGTCATTATCAAAGTTTATTTTGAAAAATTTATTGTGAAACAACTGAAGATATCAACAAATCAATTCTAAAATTGTCAATCTGGGCCCAGTTGTTCGAAGGCTGATTAGCGCTAACCCAGGGTTAGATTTTAATCTGGGTTTCTTTATTCCTTTACTCTAAAGCCTTTTTGGGAAAATTTTAAGTGTCCTTTTCAAAGCATCAAATAGTCATACTCTAGACAAAAAGAATTTGATTGAACTTTCTTTTAAAGCTTTTAGATCTGAAATCGGATTTCACACTAACCCTGGGTAATCTTAACCCAGCTTTGAACAACCCAGCCCTGTAGAATAAATTAAGACAAATTGGTTGGCCTCTGCTAAATGCCTGAGAGTTTCCTAAAGGTCACCTTGCTTTCTAAGGTGTTCCATTGTTTTCTACTTTCTCCTCTCTGTATTTTCATATATCTAGTATCCATAGTATTGTATAATTAACTATTTGTGAGTTAGATGAAAAAAATATTTATTAAATTTTAAAATAATCATTCCAATGATGAGGATGATTATATGGCTTCCATGTTAACTTGCACTGTGCTATACAAGCACATAGAGCTATTTGGTTGATAGGTATCCATAACAGACTTCATTGTAATGACATTATGGGAGTCTCAATGTTAGCTGCAAAACTGATGGTTAAGTTAACACTTTACACCCTAACATCAGTATGCACATTCTCTTTACTGCTCTCTATACATTTCCTAATGTGCTGACAAGGAGAATTTACAACAATTAAGAGCTTCTTTGATTGATCATTTCCTTCATTCTTGTGACCTAAATGTGTGATGGAGGGGGGAGAGGGGCAACCTTGTAGGGAGAAATTAGATGCTAGTCACTCTAAGGGATCAAATGGTTAACAACATCTACTCAGAAAAACTTACTTGTAGAAATATTTCAGAAACCCTGAAAATCACATCAGTATTACCACTAAATCTTCATTTTCAATGATTGTGTGGAATTAAAAAATAATAGTTATAGAGAGTATCCAAATAGTCTGACACAGTCAAAATGTTTAAAGATGACCTCACCTAAGGGATTTATTTCCAGGTAGGTGAAGAACAAGTCAGTGTAAAGTTTAAATAAGTCGTGGATAAATGTAGCAAGTAATCTGTCCAGGAAAAAAACAAGGAGCAATAAACATTATTGCATTTTAACTCTGCAGATTGCATTTTCTGATTGATTCACTGAACTTAACAAGGTACAAGTGACAATAAAATGATGCAACAATAATACAGCAAAGTCCTGAAAGGGTTCTTGGAATCCTCACACAACCTGAGCATCACCAGAGTCATGTATTCAGAGAGGGCTAACAGCCCCTAGTCTTGGATGAGTACAAACCATGTATTGTAAGAGTACTAAAAACCTTTGCTCACTTTTTCTTTTGTTTTGAAACATTCTGCATAAGTTTTTTCTCCACCAAATCAACTGTGATTTTGTCTCCAAGGCCAACTTCAAGTTTAACAGCCTAAGCACAACATAGGTAAACTAACATGAGTAAACAAACATATGTAAAAAAACATATGTACTCAAGAAAACAATGAAATTTTAAATCAAACTTCTTGATCACAGCTAGCTTAAAAACTAATAATAGTTTGAAGTATATATTCCTAAAGATTTTCGAATGGTTTGTGCTTATTTTATCAAATATCTGGTATTCTTTCATCATTGATCAGAGAAGCAAAATGTTTCTATTTGGTGCCCAAAAAACAAGAAAGCATACACTGGAAACAAAACTGCTTGGAATTCACATTTTTTTCAAACATACATAATTTTTTTAAGATCCAGAAAGTAAAGGAGACAAATATTATTCTGGCTACTTATGTATAACCTTTAACTAGCAGTAAATCTAATCATTTTTTCTAAATTCATTGAGAGTACAGTAATACATAAGCAAGCACAGATATGGAATTTCTCTTGAGTTTTTAATGCAAAAATTTAACCATTTAATTCCCAAAAACTGACTGTTAATTCTCCCTTCTAGCTGCTACACATTTCCTGGTTGATTAGTTATGGCAATTTGGTCTTAGATCAAGAATTATCAAATTCTACCTTATAAGTTTGTCAGTTTTCTCGTAACCTGTTTGCTGGATAACATATCGATATCATAGAGAGAACTTAAATGTAAATCACTTTTGGGAGTTAAAGGGTTAAAACTCAGACTAGAATCATATGAAAAAAAAAATACTTTACCTTGCTGTCAACATCTCCTATTTCCACACCACCCTCATGATGAAATAAAATTGTGTCGCATTTCCTCTGAGCATAGATGCACACATAAAATTCTTCATTCTAAAAGAAAGTCACAGAAAATTGTGTGAGTCATTCTTTGGAGCCTTATCATGGTTTATTAGTTTCAGAATCTAACACTTCCTGATTCAGATTCACTGCATTTTCAAACATATGAACCATGGTGAACCACAGTCATCTTACATTGTTAAAAAGATCAAGTCACTGAATTGTGATGGGAGGCATTTGATCCATTTTGAGTTCCTCTGCTTTTAGATGACTGTTATGCAAACATCTGAAGACGGCGTGAATTGAAATTGCCAGTTTTACTCTAAATCTCAGTGTTTGCAGGTTATTGAAAAGCTCACTCAATTCCTAACAGCACATACATAAAAGTAAAGTAATTAAAAGTCCATACTTAAGCCAAGTGACCTATCCAGTTAGAGTTCATCCAACCTTCTAAAGCATAAGGTAAAAAGAAATACCAATATTGAGATCATTACAAAAGATGTATGTGTAACTGGATCTACCTGTTTATGTGGTACAAATGGCTCTATGATGAATCTTTTCAGCGGACCACTTGCAGCTCCCACCTGCCAAGTAAATAATCATAGCATTCATTCCAACCTGATTAGTTGGAAACACAGATTAATGTGCATGAGTTGGGTGGGAACAGATTGTGGGAGAAGGGAGGGGGGGCTGAGGAAAGACAGGGTTAAGGTCAGGGGGACAGGGGAGAGGATAGCTATAGGGTAGAAGTTAACAAGATAAAAGGGAGGAAGGACAGGAAATACACAGAATGGTTGAAGAGTAGAAGATCAGGGACAGAAATGGATGAGGAAGGTTTCAGAATCTCAGGGAAAGGGAGATAGCAAATCTTGTAAAGACAAATGTAACTAGAATGGGTAATGGTTCCAGAATACAAGGGTTCATATAATTCTCTCTGGATAATATACTACTCAATTGCAGGTTACCGCCAAGAATTTTGTCACACCTCCCCTGACAATTTGCTTGTACTCATTTATACTCCTTGTTGGAGACAGGTATGTTGAGAGTAAGAGTTTTCCCAAGTACACCACTTTATCACCCCATTAGGGCTCGTACCTTCCTCCCCCCCCCCCCCCCCCCCCCCTTCCCCCTAACGTCTGACATCAACTTATAGTCCAGCACTGTAACCTTGAGCTCTAGGTGAACATGTCTTGTCTCCCACACTTTTCTTATTCAGTATTGTCCAGAGGCACCAGCAGCTGCTGTTTCCACCAGCAAGTTTCCACAAACACATATGTTTTTTAATCATTTCTTTCTTGAATATTGAAAAAATAATAAAACAACCGTCCTCTTCTTAAGAAAATTTTAATCTTTGCTTTATTTGCATATCCTCAATAAAAGTGATTAAAACCAGAAAGAAAACAAGAGACAAAAGCAGCAGGAACAGATGCTAGCAACATACTGTACTACTTGTACCCTTTTTATAGGTACTGGCTTGTTTCCTGACAACTGTTTTTTTTTTTTTTAAGGCTTGCCTTTAGAAAACACTCCAGCTTATCATCCCATTCTTGTTTCATGCTGTATAATCGAGAAGGCTAAAATACTAGATAATAGATCAATCACAGACCTGGATATCTTTGCCCATTCTCTCATCAATCCATTTCTTGGCTTCTTGTGAGTTGACATTAACCTTTATAAGACCCAGCTTGCCTCTACGCTTTATAAGCTGATCTGGCTTTACAACAAGTTTCTGAAAAATGAAAATACAAACAAATATATTAAGTATCTTATGACACATTTTTGTATGTACAGTAGAACCTCCTCCCTTAGCAACAACCTCTGGTAAGCAACCACTTTTTCAGTATACCAAAAGTTATCAAGTCAAATCACTATAAATTGAACCTCTTGTAAGCAACCACCTCTCATTAGCTGCCACATCTCAAAAGTAACCACTTTTAGAGATGCTTGCTTACAATTTTAAATTGTTTTTAACATTGTATAGGTGACTACTTGTCAGATGATTGACTTAATCTCTTATGAGTAGAAACTAAAGATTGTTTTTTAAAGAAATGCTGAGTTAACACATAAATCACAGTATCAATATCAGCATCATCTTTGGTATCATATAGTTTCAGAAAAACTGTATTGGTCCATCATTACTAAACAATCAATGGAAAAAAATTGTGGCTATGCTAAGTTTGCCACCAATTCCAGGTCAGGATGGTTTTAGAATACAACTGTTTGAGTTGAATTTCCCTTTGATCCAGATATGTCATTTCCAAACAAAGAAAAGCTAATATCAAGCCAGTTTGAACTCATGTGAAGCTTAAATAATTTAAAAGTACAACTGATACACTAAAATCTAGAAAAGAAAAATTAACCATTTATTCAGTTTTGGTAAAAAATTATAACAGGCTTCAAGAAATTGGTAAACTTGAGGTAGTTTAGTACGTGTTAAAATCAGAACAAAGATAAAACGTCAGTAGGGGTAAATTGATGAGATAAAAGGAATAAGAAAAACTTTTATTCTGCATATGACAAAGCATTTTGCGTAACCTTGAATGACCTTCATCGCTACAAGTATAATCCTATTCTGTCAATTTCCTTGCTGCGAGCGGTGAAAGGAAAAGCAAAACGGATAACATTGTTTCGAGGAAATAAAGAATATAAACAACTTAATATTTTACAGAAATCTTCTTTATACTTTACACAATGGTCTTCTAAATATGTCAAAGCTCAAAATTTAAGATTGAAAATATAAAATTCGTAAATACATGATAAAATTCAGGAGTCGAGGGATCAAATTATTTTCGCCCCTGGAGGCTGAATGAATGCAGTTGAATAGAACGACAAATTTGTTGATAAAACAATGTCTTACCTGGCTTAAAATCCATGGATTGTCTTTGACAAGATCGTCCCAGTTTGTTTCTTGTACAACAACAGCAAATTTGTTCTTGACGTAGCAATTGTTTTGAAGGCACTTCGCAACGAGTGACTTTCCGTCGGTTTCGTAGATGGCTTTAGCCGACATTTTGACAGATCTTCGAGTTTAGATCGCGAAGAGATGGTTGAAAGTGTATGGAAGAAAGTATAATGATGCAATCAAAGTTAAAATAAGTGATTTATTTTTGTACTATCTCAGTGCCACGACTCCACCGTATCGAAATCAATGCGCGGTCATGTCGCCTCATTTGCATGTGTCAAGCCATGTGGCAAGACAGATCGCGTGACACGGGCGTGACGGCCACGTGAAAAGCGTGACAAGCGTGACAGACACGTGAATTGAGTGACTAAACGTCTGTCTGACTACAAGAAATATTCCTGTAAGTTATCGAGAACAAATAAATGATCTAGTCAAAAATTTTTTTGTAGGTTGAATTTGTTTATCGTGATCATTGTTTAGGTGATCATCGAGTACAATTTACATGCATTCATATGTCCGTCAACCTTACAGCAAAAGTTACAACTTAGTCACCGGTCTATTTATATTCAGCATTTTTTGCTTCTCATTTAATTAATCAAAGGATCAATTAGCTAATTTGGGTCACCACAGAAAAATATGTTTTCAGATGGTTCCAGGGTCACTTTCTATACCATCATGTGTGCAACACGTGCAACACGTGCAACAAAACTCCCCTCCGCCCTGATAGGAGAAAGAAGAAGGAAAAAAACTCCTAAATCAATTTATTTTTGTTTTATATTTTACCCTTTTTAATGAGTTTAACATGCCAATAAACTGCCGGTAAATTATTTTGGGTATTTCTACCTTTTGTTGCATTTAAGAAAGCAGGACCGGAAGTTACGTAAAAATCGGAAGGATATTCGTCCGAAAAGTTTTCAGACTGTCTAATGCGTTCACCTGGATGAAACTACAGAGAGGGTCAAAATTCCAAATGAGCCCATTTTTTAAAATTAGTTTACACGCTGTCTTGAATTCCCAAAACACTCCGTAATTTGGTATTTTCATGCTCTTATTTTGTCAAGAGTGACTCAGAAACTGAGAAGGGAACAAACATTTTAAGGGTATGTGAACTTTCTGGTGTCCGTTACGTCTCAATGCTCGCTTCACGCGTTCGTGTCCTGGCCACTATCACACGCGTGCCTCGCTCGTGAGTTTCGAGTGCAAAGGCTGCTTGCGATCAGCAATATGTTCTAAAATAGTCCATTTTATAGTTTTGTGCTTGGTTGCCAAGCCTTTGAACAGGAGTAAGGTTGACCTTGCTATGATACAAACGTTGTTACTTTTCAAATGCAAATTACTTTGTTATAATGCTAGCTAGATACTGGTCTCTATCACAACAAGGTCACCTTCAGCCTCACTCCAAATAAGACTTGGCAACTAAGTACACAACTGTAAAATGGCCTATTACTAAAGTCTGAAAGTTAAATTTTATTTACCAAAACTGAAGCGCCACGATTTTTTTCTTCTTTTTCCCCCTTTTCTGTAATAAGAAATATCATTGTGTGAAATCGAAGATTTTTTTCTAATCCCAAAGCAATCAAACTCTATCGATCGTTTGTATTAGTATAAATATACACCAATTTGGCCACTCTTCCAATGGGGACCAAGACGAAAAAATTGGAAACAATACAAATAAACCTAATGTTATTTTTAAAAAAATCCCAACTGGCAGGAGGCAGACCGGTTGGCTATGATGGTGCAGCAAAGGAGGGGAACTCTGAACAATCGAGAACAAATTCAATGAGTGACAGGGTGGAGGGCTTGAACCCGGGACCGCCAGATTACAAGCCTAGCGCCACAATCACTCTGCCACACTACGTTTTTTGTTCACTTCTCTTTGGATAATTCTCTCTCTTGACTCTCAGGTTGAATCTACTTCCTTTTCCTTTAACTTTCTTTCCACTTTTTGCTTAACTTGGCTGCTTTATAGTTCCCACAGTGGACTGAAAAGAGAAAAATCTTTCGCTGATAACTAACGCATTTAAAAATTCCTAGCCGTCACCACGTGTCTAATGCGACTTTCTTGAATTTAACGGCCACTTTTTGATAAAAAAAAAGGAAGAGAAAAGATTGCCACTCCTCTATGTAACTTCTTCTAGGAGAAAAGCTCGGTACATTTTAATCTAATGAACTGTAAAAGTATGGAAAGTAAACCCCTCCTCCATCAATGAATTTTAGGATATCTCTTTGTCTGTTGCAAACAATTGAAAATCTCTCTCCCACCTTGATTCAAAATTCTTACGAAGACCTCAATGGAAGTGGACGCAAGTTTAAATATTTAGATATGTCGCCGATACTGTTCAATTTTAGTCAAGAAATGTCGATCAAATGGCGCGTTTCGACCAATGGAGCCCAAGCGATGGATCGAAATTTCAGATCTGTTTGTCCACGAGAAGTCGGCGAGTACATCCAGAAGAAAACCACAACTTAAGGGATAAATAATTTCCAAGTATTATTCATCTTATGATTTCTACCACATACGCTATCCAGGCAGTATCAAAAGATTTCACTTAAAAAAAAAAAAAAAAAAGAACTATACACTTCATCGCATTTTTCCTATTTACAAAACGAGATGAAGGAATATTGACCGAGTTTATATTAACATTTTTATGTGCAAACGCAATGGTCCCATGTCAACTTAAAAGGAAACACCTCGATCTCGTTCCCAAAGGTGGCACACCACTGGTCCCTTGAGGGCGGGAAACGAAGACCTCAAAGTCCTCGTTTCTCGCCCGCAAGGGATCAATGGGAGCATGGTCTCTGGGAACGAAATTAGAGACACCTTGAAAACCAATAGGTTCTTTTGAAAAACCCAACTACTGTAGCTCAATTCATTATCATTAGCTGTTGATAAACAGTTGAGAACTTAGAAACATGGGTTTAAATCTAGGTCCAGCCATGTTTCAAATTATTTACACCTGAGTGTGATAGTCCCCCTGTCGTTGTCTTACATTTTCATTGTGAGTGCGTAGAAGTTCAAATATCGCTTTCACGTCAGAAGAAAGTTTTGTTTCGAGTTTCTCCAATCTAGTGGAGAGATTGTCAAGTTTATTTTCCATCGAGCTGAACGATTTACAACAGTCTTTGCACACATTCGTGTCCCCTTTCTGTGTCTCAGCCGCACAAGAATTACTCGGCACTGCTTCTTCTCTGTGTACAGCTTGTTTACACTGAGATGCGGTGTAGTTTCCAGCTTCTGCTTTGATATCCGAATTTTCCAACTTTCCGACCAGTTGAGGTAATAAAAAGCATCCAAGAGCGGATTTTTCAGACGTCGATTGAGCGCCTTCCTTTTTGCTATTCAAACTGTTTGATGGAAGATCTAAGTTATTGGGTCTAGGTCGCATTTCGCCTCTCCCCAAATCCACAGGTCCATTCATTGAATTGTAAACATTAGTGGTTCCTTGGGGAACGGCGCCCGCGCTTGAACCATTTGGGGCTATTGGTTTGTGATCAATGTGTGTTTCCATGGTAACAAAGCAATTTTTGTCCTCTTGGACATCTAGGAAATGCTAGGCCAGGATTGAAGAAAATATACGTTAATATTTCGGTAGATGTACTTAGAAAGATAACCACTTTAAATTTTACATGGCTCACGAACGATAGTGACAGGGTCGAGTACATGTAATCGAGGCTTACTCTTAATCTTCCGCGTACAATTTTATCTACGTTTAACAGGATTTTTGAAAACCAATTTGCAATAGATTAAATTAAATGAAGATGTTAACAACACGGGTTAGGACCTAATTTGACGATCCCGGCCTATTCTCTTTCTCAACACCTGATGCAAATACAGAGCGCAACATTTCACAAGCATCTACTAGTATATAAAAAAAAGGAATCACACCTCTGATTCGTCTCCACGAAGGTTGTAAGTAATTTCCAGATCTTTAATGAAGTTTTCTCTGAACAACGGGTACTGCCTAAGGATGTGCAGTACATCCTCACGTGAAACAAGCCGCAGTTCGCAATAAGTTAGAGCCCGGATGCTGGCGTTGGAATTCACCACAGGCCTGTCAGGATCAATGGCAAAATTTTCGCCGAAAGAGTCGCCTTTGCCTGAATGAGTGGAGATAGATAGATAGGGAGTAAACCGAAGTTCTACCGATGAAAATGTTCTGGGAAAAATATCACGCTAAAAATTACCGTGTAGTTTTAAAATTTTGTGGGACTTTTACTTTGTGACTTGTGATTTCTGGCGTTTTGAAGGTATGAAGTTTGGGGTTTTAAATGATTGAATTTCTGACGGGAATTAATTTTGCAATTTCCTTCACCACCAGAGGAACATTGTCAAAGAAGGAAACGTAAATCACTGATTACTAACAACGAAGCACACTCTTTTCCTGAGAGAAATTTCCCTGAATTCTAGTAACCATGAAACCTAGGAAATTTACTTAAATGGGTAACGAACAATCCCCAAGACAAATTTTCAGACCAAGGTAGTTTCCAACAATTGATCAAACCTTAATGGGGTGGTCAGTTACAGGACGGCAGGTTGGTAGTTTTTACTAACATATGACCCGAGAGGCCCCGCGCGCTTTTATTGAAAGCATTACGAAAGAAAATCCCCGTATAAAAGCCTTAAGCAATGGTGCACGAACAGCCCCGCGAGAGGCGAGCTTGAAGAAGAAGGGAAGACAAAGAAAGATCGACGGTCATATGATGAAAGTCTTACTGACTGTGTCAGGTCTGGCCGAAGAGGAAAATATTGGACTCTCAATCATGAAGAATGGACCTAGCTGGGATCGCTCTGTAAATCGGGATCTCGAGTCAAAAATTTTCCTCTCCGGCTGAACCTAACACAATCAATACGTTTGCATTAATTTTAAGGAATGGGAGAAAATAGATATGACCTACCCAAAATGGCCATGATTATATCACCGCTGAGTACTTCGACTGTTCCTCGTATCACAAAGTACAAATGATTCACCTCATCTCCCTGGTAGATAATGTAATCCCCCGGGGGGAGGTGAGTGGTCTTAATGCGCAGAGCGAGGGCGCGTAAACATCCCATCGGTGCTGAGGTGAATGCTGGGTAAGTATGCAGAAGGCTTGAATTGAGATGAAGACAAATATCAGCCTGAAGACACTCGGGAAAATGTTTAAGGACCTGTGAGGCGTAAAAACAGAGGTTATGTAACATAACGTTCAGTGTTACTGCAACAATTCAGGTGCTTAGAGAGAGACACGAGCTATGATTCGTCCAGAA